CTGTCTCTGCTGTGCCACACTAATATCCTTCCCCTGTCTGATGTGCCACACTAATATCCTTCCCCTGTCTGATGTGCCACACTAATATCCTTCCCCTGTCTCTGATGTGCCACACTAATATCCTTCCCCTGTCTGATGTGCCACACTAATATCCTTCCCCTGTCTGATGTGCCACACTATTATCCTTCCCCTGTCTCTGCTGTGCCACACTAATATCCTTCCCCTGTGCCACACTAATATCCTTCCCCTGTTCAGTTTCGAGGCGTGCTTCACGGTGAGAGAGGATGCGAACCCAGAGTCGAGGAAGCAGCATCTGTCGAGGTTCCAGGAGAACCCTCAGGCCTTTTGGGGCCCCAAGGCTCGGGCTAAAGCCGGGTGAGGAGCACAACCTGCTAGCCCCATGCTAACCTGCTAGCCCCATGCTAACCTGCTAGCCCCATGCTAACCTGCTAGCCCCATGCTAACCTGCTAGCCCCATGCTAACCTGCTAGCCCCATGCTAACCTGCTAGCCCCATGCTAACAGGTGTGTGTTGCAGAGGCCTGTGCTCAGATCTTCAGGACAAGAGCAAACTGCTGCAGAACAAACGCAAAGCAGTGGATTCTGTGGATTACAAGAAGTTTCACTGCAAGAGACACAGACGGGTGAGAGGGGGGGAGACAGACGGGTGAGAGGGGGGAGACAGACGGGTGAGAGGGGGGAGACACAGACGGGTGAGAGGGGGGAGACACAGACGGGTGAGAGGGGGGGAGACACAGACGGGTGAGAGGGGGGAGACAGACGGGTGAGAGGGGGGAGACAGACGGGTGAGAGGGGGGAGACAGACGGGTGAGAGGGGGAGACAGACGGGTGAGAGGGGGGAGACAGACGGGTGAGAGGGGGGAGACACAGACGGGTGAGAGGGGGGAGACAGACAGGTGAGAGGGGGGAGACACAGACGGGTGAGAGGGGGGAGACACAGACGGGTGAGAGGGGGGGAGACACAGACGGGTGAGAGGGGGGAGACAGACGGGTGAGAGGGGGGAGACAGACGGGTGAGAGGGGGGAGACAGACGGGTGAGAGGGGGAGACAGACGGGTGAGAGGGGGGAGACAGACGGGTGAGAGGGGGGAGACACAGACGGGTGAGAGGGGGGAGACACAGACGGGTGAGAGGGGGGAGACACAGACGGGTGAGAGGGGGGAGACACAGACGGGTGAGAGGGGGGAGACAGACGGGTGAGAGGGGGTGTTAGGGACCAAGCAGTAAAGCACCAAGACAAAGGTTCAAATCTTGCAAAAAAGGGTTTATAGGCCATATAGACAAACAGGCCATTAAAAAGGTCAAAAGAATAGAACTTTACAGAAAGCAAATGTTAACTTAATGAGAACTTAACACAAACAAACTGACCTCCCAAATAAAACATAACCCAACATATATATACTGCCCAGCCCAATTACCCACAGCTGTACCAACCCACATAAGCCCGCCCCTTTTTCCTCTTCAAATCAGGAGGGACAAGGCTCATGATGTCATCCTGTGGGGTGTAGCCATCACAGGGGGGGACAGACGGGTGAGAGGGGGGGAGGTGAGAGACACAGACGGGTGAGAGGGGGGGAGACAGACGGGTGAGAGGGGGGAGACAGACGGGTGAGAGGGGGGAGACAGACGGGTGAGAGGGGGGAGACAGACGGGTGAGAGGGGGGAGACAGACGGGTGAGAGGGGGGGACAGACGGGTGAGAGGGGGGGAGGTGAGAGACACAGACGGGTGAGAGGGGGGAGACAGACGTGTGAGAGGGGGGAGACAGACGGGTGAGAGGGGGGAGACACAGACGGGTGAGACACAGACGGGTGAGAGGGGGGAGACACAGACGGGTGAGAGGGGGGGGAGACAGAGACGGGTGAGAGGGGGGAGACAGACGGGTGAGAGGGGGGGACAGACGGGTGAGAGGGGGGGAGGTGAGAGACACAGACGGGTGAGAGGGGGGAGACAGACGGGTGAGAGGGGGGAGACACAGACGGGTGAGAGGGGGGGAGACAGAGACGGGTGAGAGGGGGGAGACAGACGGGTGAGAGGGGGGGGAGACAGACGGGTGAGAGGGGGGAGACACAGACGGGTGAGAGGGGGGAGACACAGACGGGTGAGAGGGGGGGAGACAGAGACGGGTGAGAGGGGGGAGACAGACGGGTGAGAGGGGGGGAGACAGACGGGTGAGAGGGGGGAGACAGACGGGTGAGAGGGGGGAGACAGACGGGTGAGAGGGGGGATGGGTGAGACACAGACGGGTGAGAGGTGAGAGACAGACGGGTGAGAGGGGGACGGGTGAGAGGTGAGACAGACGGGTGAGAGGGGGGAGACACAGACGGGTGAGAGGGGGGGATGGGTGAGAGGGGAGACACAGACGGGTGAGAGGGGGGGATGGGTGAGAGGGGGGATGGGTGAGAGGTGAGAGACACAGACGGGTGAGAGGGGGGGATGGGTGAGAGGGGGGAGACACAGACGGGTGAGAGGGGGGAGACACAGACGGGTGAGAGGGGGGGATGGGTGAGAGGGGGGAGACACAGACGGGTGAGAGGGGGGAGAGGGAAGTGAAAATGTTAGTTACAACTGTATACTTCTACATGTAAGTCAATGGGAGCCAAACTTTGTCCATGAGCACTTCCATGTTGTGCTAATGCTAGCTTCATCGTCCCTGTGTCCAGGGCTCGTGTGACTTGGGCGACGCCTGCCGTTACTCCCATGATGCTTCACTCCTGGACCAGCAGCAGTGATCTTTAAGATCAGTTTGTTTTTTTAGTTTTTTCTCTGGAAATAAAGTCTGAGACTTTAAACACGATTTTGTCTCATCTGTAAATCAACATCAGAGTGAGGGGAAACCGGAGCACCAGCAGGAAACCTCAGGAGCCAATGGTTTATTCAGAATCAGACATGTCGAATTTATTCAAAGTAAAAAAATCATTTCCATATTTACAATTAATGTCACAGATATGTTCTTATTGGAGAGCGAGAGAGACCAGAGCGAGAGAGACCAGAGCGAGAGAGAGAGAGACTAGAGCGAGAGAGAGACTAGAGCGAGAGAGACCAGAGCGAGAGAGACCAGAGCGAGAGAGAGACCAGAGCGAGAGAGACCCTCAGATCTGCAGACGCAGCAGGAAGGTCCGGATCTCCATCGGCCGCAGAGTCACTTCCCAAACAGACTCCTTCTTCCTCTCCTCCTGCTCCTGCTCAGCTCCTGAACAAAACCAGCAGAGGTCAGAGGTCAGAGGTGTCCAGACGAAGGAAACAAACAAACTAAATCTATTTCTCTTTTCTTAGTAATATTTATTTATATACCGCCTTTCACAGACCAGAGTCTCAAAGCAGTTTACAATTGTTATTTTTTGGGCACTTGTCTCACTCCACACAGAGATGGGAGGGGCCAGTACAGGAGGCACATGCCAGAACTATTGTACATATTTTTAGTGGTAGGGGAAACCGGAGTACCCGGAGGAAACCTACGCAAACACGGGGAGAACATGCAAACTCCACTCAGAAAGGGCCTTCAGGTTAAAACCCTGTTCCTCAGTCACAGATGTGTCTGCAGCTCCCCCTGGTGGCAGCTGAGAGAACTACAGAGACCAGAGGGAGACTTCTGCACCTGTCTTTGGCGTCCAATCAAATCGCTTCATGTCGTGTTTCCACTGATTGGCCGAAAGGTTGAGCTCAGAATATCCCACGATCTGCAGCGTGGAAAACAACTTCTGCAAACACACACACACACAGTCAGAGACACACAGACACACACAGACACACACAGGCCCTGTCCCATTACCCACACTGCCCCCTACAGTCCTCTACTGCCCCCTACAGTCCTCTACTGCCCTGTCCCATTACCCACACTGCCCCCTACAGTCCTCTACTGCCCTGTCCCATTACCCACACTGCCCCCTACAGTCCTCTACTGCCCTGTCCCATTACCCACACTGCCCCCTACAGTCCTCTACTGCCCTGTCCCATTACCCACACTGCCCCCTACAGTCCTCTACTGCCCTGTCCCATTACCCACACTGCCCCCTACAGTCCTCTACTGCCCTGTCCCATTACCCACACTGCCCCCTACAGTCCTCTACTGCCCTGTCCCATTACCCACACTGCCCCCTACAGTCCTCTACTGCCCTGTCCCATTACCCACACTGCCCCCTACAGTCCTCTACTGCCCCCTACAGTCCTCTACTGCCCCCTACAGTCCTCTACTGCCCCCTACAGTCCTCTACTGCCCCCTACAGTCCTCTACTGCCCCCTACAGTCCTCTACTGCCCCCTACAGTCTGGTCAGTTTATGCTTCTTTTCGAGTAACAGCAAAACTTATTTACACACAAACTGCATTTTCCCGACGTTTTGGTGTTTACCGCAAAGAATTATGGGTAATATCCTTCGCCAGAGTCCGCTTAGATGCAGGCTACGGCGAAGTGTGGGTCAGGGGCGCAAAGGGGGCGGGGCCAAAGACCTCCCTGGAGAATTGGGACTGGACCCTACGCACTCGCACCCATCATCGGGAACACATGAGGGGCGCCAGGTTGGAAGTGTGAGTGTTGGGACTGGACCCTACGCACTCGCACCCATCATCAGGAACACATGAGGGGCGCCAGGTTGGAAGTGTGAGTGTTGGGACTGGACCCTACGCACCCATCATCGGGAACACATGAGGGGCGCCAGGTTGGAAGTGTGAGTGTTGGGACTGGACCCTACGCACCCATCATCGGGAACACATGAGGGGCGCCAGGTTGGAAGTGTGAGTGTTGGGACTGGACCCTACGCACCCATCACCGGGAACACATGAGGGGCGCCAGGTTGGAAGTGTGAGTGTTGGGACTGGACCCTACGCACCCATCACCGGGAACACATGAGGGGCGCCAGGTTGGAAGTGTGAGTGTTGGGACTGGACCCTACGCACCCATCATCGGGAACACATGAGGGGCGCCAGGTTGGAAGTGTGAGTGTTGGGACTGGACCCTACGCACCCATCATCGGGAACACATGAGGGGCGCCAGGTTGGAAGTGTGAGTGTTGGGACTGGACCCTACGCACCCATCATCGGGAACACATGAGGGGCGCCAGGTTGGAAGTGTGAGTGTTGGGACTGGACCCTACGCACCCATCACCGGGAACACATGAGGGGCGCCAGGTTGGAAGTGTGAGTGTTGGGACTGGACCCTACGCACCCATCACCGGGAACACATGAGGGGCGCCAGGTTGGAAGTGTGAGTGTTGGGACTGGACCCTACGCACCCATCATCGGGAACACATGAGGGGCGCCAGGTTGGAAGTGTGAGTGTTGGGACTGGACCCTACGCACCCATCATCGGGAACACATGAGGGGCGCCAGGTTGGAAGTGTGAGTGTTGGGACTGGACCCTACGCACCCATCATCGGGAACACATGAGGGGCGCCAGGTTGGAAGTGTGAGTGTTGGGACTGGACCCTACGCACTTCCACCTGACGCCCCTCATTTGTTCCCGATGATGGGGGCGAGTGTTGGGACTGAGCCACAGACACAGTCAGTGAAGCACATTATTTTCCCTGTGCACAGTAATGCAAGTCACATGACCCCGGGTCACATGACCCTCGGTCACATGACCCTCGGTCACATGACCCCGGGTCACATTACCCTCGGCTCCTAAACCTTTGATCCTCCTGCTGCTTTATACAGAAAATAAACTGAACAATCCATATCTTTGACCTCTGACCTGCAGGTGGACTGTGATTGGCTGAGAGTGACCTCTGACCTGAAGGTGCACTGTGATTGGCTGAGAGTGACCTCTGACCTGCAGGTGCACTGTGATTGGCTGAGAGTGACCTCTGACCTGCAGGTGGACTGTGATTGGCTGAGAGTGACCTCTGACCTGCAGGTGGACTGTGATTGGCTGAGAGTGACCTCTGACCTGCAGGTGGACTGTGATTGGCTGAGAGTGACCTCTGACCTGCAGGTGCACTGTGATTGGCTGAGAGTGACCTCTGACCTGCAGGTGCACTGTGATTGGCTGAGAGTGACCTCTGACCTGCAGGTGGACTGTGATTGGCTGAGAGTGACCTCTGACCTGCAGGTGGACTGTGATTGGCTGAGAGTGACCTCTGACCTGCAGGTGCACTGTGATTGGCTGAGAGTGACCTCTGACCTGCAGGTGGACTGTGATTGGCTGAGAGTGCAGAGGACTCTCCCAGGCCTGGTACTGATGCTCGAGGCGCAGCAGGAGTGTGTTCTGGTCCCACTGCTGCAGAGACAGCAGGTGGACAGCAGGGGGCAGGGCAGCCTGGAGCCCACTGAACCTGCTGCTGCTGCTGCTGCTCCTGCTGCTGCTCCTGCTGCTGCTCCTGCTGTGTCCCTGTGTGAAGGTCAGCAGTGGCTGCAGTACCGCCTGCTCCCCCAGGGGGCGGTATGAGTCTGCTGCAGTCTGAGGAGGATCCAGAGAGAGCAGAAGGAGACCGCGGACCACCAGCCCCTCAGGGAACACCTCCGAGCTCTCATTCAGAGCCTCGTTCACACCACGACTGTCATCGTACAGGAGGCGCCGGTGGAGCTGAGGAGAGAGGAGGAGAGAGGAGGTCAGAGGAGGCACTGGTGGAGAGAGGAGGAGAGAGGAGGTCAGAGGAGGCGCCGGTGGAGCTGTGGAGAGAGGAGGAGAGAGGAGGTCAGAGGAGGCGCCGGTGGAGCTGAGGAGAGAGGAGGTCAGAGGAGGTCAGAGGAGGCGCCGGTGGAGCTGAGGAGAGAGGAGGAGAGAGGGAGGTCAGAGGAGGCGCCGGTGGAGCTGCGGAGAGAGGAGGAGAGAGGAGGTCAGAGGAGGCGCCGGTGGAGCTGCGGAGAGAGGAGGAGGAGAGAGGAGGAGAGAGGAGGCGCCGGTGGAGCTGCGGAGAGAGGAGGAGAGAGGAGGTCAGAGGAGGCGCTGGTGGAGAGAGGAGGAGAGAGGAGGAGAGAGGAGGTCAGAGGAGGCGCCGGTGGAGCTGAGGAGAGAGGAGGAGAGAGGAGGTCAGAGGAGGCGCCGGTGGAGCTGCGGAGAGAGGAGGAGAGAGGAGGTCAGAGGAGGCGCCGGTGGAGCTGCGGAGAGAGGAGGAGAGAGGAGGTCAGAGGAGGCGCCGGTGGAGCTGCGGAGAGAGGAGGAGAGAGGAGGTCAGAGGAGGCGCCGGTGGAGCTGCGGAGAGAGGAGGAGAGAGGAGGAGAGAGAGAGGCGCCGGTGGAGCTGCGGAGAGAGGAGGAGAGAGGAGGTCAGAGGAGGCGCTGGTGGAGAGAGGAGGAGAGAGGAGGAGAGAGGAGGTCAGAGGAGGCGCCGGTGGAGCTGCGGAGAGAGGAGGTCAGAGGAGGCGCCGGTGGAGCTGCGGAGAGAGGAGGAGAGAGGAGGTCAGAGGAGGCGCCGGTGGAGCTGCGGAGGAGAGAGGAGGAGTCAGAGGAGGCGCTGGTGGAGCTGCGGAGAGAGGAGGAGAGAGGAGGAGGCACTGGTCAAGCTGAGGAGGAGAGAGGAGGTCAGAGGAGGCGCTGGTGGAGCTGAGGAGGAGAGAGGAGGAGGTCAGAGGAGGCACTGGTCAAGCTGAGGAGGAGAGAGGAGGAGGTCAGAGGAGGCACTGGTCAAGCTGAGGAGGAGAGAGGAGGAGGTCAGAGGAGGCACTGGTGGAGCTGAGGAGAGAGGAGGAGGTCAGAGGAGGAGAGAGCAGGGACCTCCTCTCAATAAAGGAAACAATGTGATTAACACTTAAAACATCCTTTTGACTCAGAACCCTCTGTGTGTGTGTGCCAGAACTACCAGAAAGCCAGAACAACCAGAAAGCCAGAACTACCAGAAAGCCATAACTACCAGAAAGCCAGAACTACCAGAAAGCCAGAACTACCAGAAAGCCAGAACTACCAGAAAGCCAGAACTACCAGAAAGCCAGAACTACCAGAAAGCCATAACTACCAGAAAGCCAGAACTACCAGAAAGCCAGAACTACCAGAAAGCCAGAACTACCAGAAAGCCAGAACAACCAGAAAGCCAGAACTACCAGAAAGCCAGAACTACCAGAAAGCCAGAACTACCAGAAAGCCAGAACTACCAGAAAGCCAGAACTACCAGAAAGCCAGAACTACCAGAAAGCCAGAACTACCAGAAAGCCAGAACTACCAGAAAGCCAGAACTACCAGAAAGCCATAACTACCAGAAAGCCAGAACTACCAGAAAGCCAGAACTACCAGAAAGCCAGAACTACCAGAAAGCCAGAACAACCAGAAAGCCAGAACTACCAGAAAGCCAGAACTACCAGAAAGCCAGAACTACCAGAAAGCCAGAACTACCAGAAAGCCAGAACTACCAGAAAGCCAGAACTACCAGAAAGCCAGAACTACCAGAAAGCCAGAACTACCAGAAAGCCAGAACTACCAGAAAGCCAGAACTACCAGAAAGCCAGAACTACCAGAAAGCCAGAACTACCAGAAAGCCAGAACTACCAGAAAGCCAGAACTACCAGAAAGCCAGAACTACCAGAAAGCCAGAACTACCAGAAAGCCAGAACTACCAGAAAGCCAGAACTACCAGAAAGGAACTACCAGAAAGCCAGAACTACCAGAAAGCCAGAACTACCAGAAAGCCAGAACAACCAGAAAGCCAGAACTACCAGAAAGCCAGAACTACCAGAAAGCCAGAACTACCAGAAAGCCAGAACTACCAGAAAGCCAGAACTACCAGAAAGCCAGAACTACCAGAAAGCCACAACTACCAGAAAGCCAGAACTACCAGAAAGCCAGAACTACCAGAAAGCCAGAACTACCAGAAAGCCAGAACTACCAGAAAGCCAGAACTACCAGAAAGCCACAACTACCAGAAAGCCAGAACTACCAGAAAGCCACAACTACCAGAAAGCCAGAACTACCAGAAAGCCAGAACTACCAGAAAGCCACAACTACCAGAAAGCCAGAACTACCAGAAAGCCAGAACTACCAGAAAGCCAGAACTACCAGAAAGCCAGAACTACCAGAAAGCCAGAACTACCAGAAAGCCAGAACTACCAGAAAGCCAGAACTACCAGAAAGCCAGAACTACCAGAAAGCCAGAACTACCAGAAAGCCAGAACTACCAGAAAGCCAGAACTACCAGAGAGCCAGAACTACCAGAGAGCCAGAACTACCAGAGAGCCAGAACTACCAGAAAGCCAGAACTACCAGAAAGCCAGAACTACCAGAAAGCCAGAACTACCAGAAAGCCAGAACTACCAGAAAGCCAGAACTACCAGAAAGCCAGAACTACCAGAAAGCCAGAACTACCAGAGAGCCAGAACTACCAGAGAGCCAGAACTACCAGAAAGCCAGAACTACCAGAAAGCCAGAACTACCAGAAAGCCAGAACTACCAGAAAGCCAGAACTACCAGAAAGCCAGAACTACCAGAAAGCCAGAACTACCAGAAAGCCACAACTACCAGAAAGCCAGAACTACCAGAAAGCCACAACTACCAGAAAGCCACAACTACCAGAAAGCCACAACTACCAGAAAGCCAGAACTACCAGAAAGCCACAACTACCAGAAAGCCAGAACTACCAGAAAGCCACAACTACCAGAAAGCCACAACTACCAGAAAGCCAGAACTACCAGAAAGCCAGAACTACCAGAAAGCCAGAACTACCAGAAAGCCAGAACTACCAGAAAGCCAGAACTACCAGAAAGCCAGAACTACCAGAAGGCCAGAACTACCAGAAAGCCAGAACTACCAGAAAGCCAGAACTACCAGAAAGCCAGAACTACCAGAAAGCCAGAACTACCAGAAAGCCAGAACTACCAGAAAGCCATAACTACCAGAAAGCCAGAACTACCAGAAAGCCAGAACTACCAGAAAGCCAGAACTACCAGAAAGCCAGAACTACCAGAAAGCCAGAACTACCAGAAAGCCAGAACTACCAGAAAGCCAGAACTACCAGAAAGCCAGAACTACCAGAAAGCCAGAACTACCAGAAAGCCAGAACTACCAGAAAGCCAGAACTACCAGAAAGCCAGAACTACCAGAAAGCCATAACTACCAGAAAGCCATAACTACCAGAAAGCCAGAACTACCAGAAAGCCATAACTACCAGAAAGCCAGAACTACCAGAAAGCCATAACTACCAGAAAGCCATAACTACCAGAAAGCCATAACTACCAGAAAGCCATAACTACCAGAAAGCCAGAACTACCAGAAAGCCATAACTACCAGAAAGCCAGAACTACCAGAAAGCCATAACTACCAGAAAGCCATAACTACCAGAAAGCCATAACTACCAGAAAGCCATAACTACCAGAAAGCCAGAACTACCAGAAAGCCATAACTACCAGAAAGCCAGAACTACCAGAAAGCCAGAACTACCAGAAAGCCAGAACTACCAGAAAGCCAGAACTACCAGAAAGCCAGAACTACCAGAAAGCCAGAACTACCAGAAAGCCAGAACTACCAGAAAGCCAGAACTACCAGAAAGCCAGAACTACCAGAAAGCCAGAACTACCAGAAAGCCAGAACTACCAGAAAGCCAGAACTACCAGAAAGCCATAACTACCAGAAAGCCAGAACTACCAGAAAGCCAGAACTACCAGAAAGCCATAACTACCAGAAAGCCAGAACTACCAGAAAGCCATAACTACCAGAAAGCCAGAACTACCAGAAAGCCATAACTACCAGAAAGCCATAACTACCAGAAAGCCATAACTACCAGAAAGCCATAACTACCAGAAAGCCAGAACTACCAGAAAGCCAGAACTACCAGAAAGCCATAACTACCAGAAAGCCAGAACTACCAGAAAGCCAGAACTACCAGAAAGCCAGAACTACCAGAAAGCCAGAACTACCAGAAAGCCATAACTACCAGAAAGCCAGAACTACCAGAAAGCCATAACTACCAGAAAGCCATAACTACCAGAAAGCCATAACTACCAGAAAGCCATAACTACCAGAAAGGCCGCGGCGGTGGCTGCTCTGAGCTGAAGTGTGGGACTCACCATGACCTCCAGAGAACCATCTCTGAGACTGCTCCCTCCATGAGACCTGTCTGTGACCAGAGTGAGCTGCTGCTGCTGGTCCTGAGGAGACACCAGTGAGACCAGAGGAGAGACACCAGTGAGACCAGAGGAGAGACACCAGTGAGACCAGAGGAGAGACACCAGTGAGACCAGAGGAGAGACACCAGTGAGACCAGAGGAGAGACACCAGTGAGACCAGAGGAGAGACACCAGTGAGACCAGAGGAGAGACACCAGTGAGACCAGAGGAGAGACACCAGTGAGACCAGAGGAGAGACACCAGTGAGACCAGAGGAGAGACACCAGTGAGACCAGAGGAGAGACACCAGTGAGACCAGAGGAGAGACACCAGTGAGACCAGAGGAGAGACACCAGTGAGACCAGAGGAGAGACACCAGTGAGACCAGAGGAGAGACACCAGTGAGACCAGAGGAGAGACACCAGTGAGACCAGAGGAGAGACACCAGTGAGACCAGAGGAGAGACACCAGTGAGACCAGAGGAGAGACACCAGTGAGACCAGAGGAGAGACACCAGTGAGTGTCTGGTCTTTCTCTGTTCGTTCTCTCTAGTCTCACTCACTGGTTTCTTTCACTGGTCTCTCTCTGGTCTCTCTCTGGTCTCTCTTTCTGGTCTCTCTGTCTGGTCTCTCTCTCTGGTCTCTCTCTCTGGTCTCTCTCTCTGGTCTCTCTCTCTGGTCTCTCTCTGGTCTCTCTCTGGTCTCTCTCTCTGATCTCTCTCTCTGGTCTCTCTCTCTGGTCTCTCTCTCTGGTCTCTTTCTGGTCTTTCTCTCCGGCCCAGCTCTGTTGGACAAGCTACAGGTGCTACAGGCAGAAAGAAAGATGGCTGACGCAGCAGAGGTGTCTGAGTGAGCTCCCTGAGTCTGTGTCTGTGTTGATCACTACTATGCCCTAAATCCTTTTCACTTTTGACCGACGTCTCTAAAATACGATTCCTGCTTTGTGGCACTACTAGATCTACTGATTTACTGACTCACAAGCTGCTAAGTTTGATATATCCTCTCTGGTCCTGTCCTCTGCACGTGTTCACCAGTATGGACCAAACAGCCACTAACACGTTCATTTTGAGCGCTCTTCAACAGCTCAAACTAGAGATGATCACGTACTTTGACCCCAAACTTGGAAATTTACAGGATACTGTTGACTCTCTAAAATCCTCAATTAAGTCCATTGGGGATCAAGTTGAGGACCTCGAAACCAGGGTTAGCTCTAACCAGGATAATCTCACTGACCTGGAGAAACGTGTTCTGACGCTCGAGCAACAAAACACGTATCTGTTGGACAGAGCCGAGGACGCTGAGAATCGGAGTCGTGCTTCCAACCTCCGCTTTCATGTCCCCGAGGGAGTTGAAGGCCATGTTATGCTGGGCTTCGTGGAATCATTCATCATCCAACTCCTGGGCAGTTCCAACTTTCCATCACCACCATCTATTGAACGGGCCCACCGTACTCCAGGAGGTCCACCGAAGCAGGATCCGAAGGCTGGCCCGAGACCCATACTTGTGAGGTTTCTCCGCTT